ATGCCTTTTCCATGTCTCTGTTTCCTGTCTTTTAAAGAATTCTGGACTGCTCCAGCAAATTTTATAAAATCTAGGAGTAAGTGGAGACTTGTATTTCTCTACAAAGGGAAAAAAAATTGTAAGTGGATTTAAGAYGGGAAAGAAGTGGAATGATTTTCCCATTCCTCCCCAGTGTCCAAGTTCAGGTAAAGGATTCAGCCTTATCAAGTGGTGAATGACATCACTCCTCTATCTCCCCAAGAAACCCAAGCAGGTTGAGCATTTTGCAAAACACACCAAAGGGTCAGGTTTCAGTTCAAGAAGGAAATCCTTGAAAAGAACAAAAACGAATTTAGTCCAAACCACTGCATTAAAAAAGGAACTCTTTCAGTGAAGGATGAGAATATTGCTATTGACAGGGCTGAGGAGAAAACTTGCCAGTTTATTTGATACCAAGAATAATYAAATTGCCATGGATGAAGCCAGAAGAGATCCAAGCCTCCCTTTGGTCCTTGAATGAAGTCCTAATGCAACATATCAGCACATTCCAGTTCCCTCCTGGAGGAGAAATGTCCAGGTAGCTTCACCAACCTGAATCTTTGCAGGATTGCAAAGGATAGGTTTTGGTTCTGGCCTGAGGCAACATTAGGTGTTTGCTCTGTGACSTCCCCAAACAACCCAAAGTCAAACATCCCCTCAGCTGAAGATGGCTGAATCCAATCTAAAGCAGCTGAGTTTCTCCCATGCCAGAAAAAACCTTGGGCTAGGCAGTTAGGACAGGCCTTACAGCAGCGCCAAAGAACTTTTAATTTTGTGGTTTCAATCCTATTTCAAAATTTAAACTGATAACCCTCCATTGTAATTTAAAAGTAAACCTCGCTGCCTCAATCATGTCTCTAAAATGCTTTGGCCAGATCCACAGTGTCCCGGTGTCCTTTCCAGAGGGAAAGCCAACTGTTTCACCTCCTCAGTTTCCCTCTCCAGGCATCTCCAGAGGCTGTAGAACTAGCACAGCTGTCTCTTGGTGTACCCTTTGGCTACCAGCTATGCTCTGATGAGCCCCAGCTTCTCAGAGGCCTTGATAGCCAGACACATTTGGGGCAGATCTGGCACTGATTGAAGAACAGGTTGGATTGGCTTTCAACATGGCATCTCGGACACAAAGGTGGATTTGGGCCAAATTTCCCTCGTGCTGAGTTGAGTGCAGCAAATTCTTGTATCTTGATAATACTCCATTTTTTTTTTTTCTTTCAAATTGGCCTGTCCTGTCTTGCTTCGTTCTTCTTTCATTTTTTCAAAATCACATTTCTTTTTGTCCATATGCCTTTGTGGTTTTGTTCCTGATTTTTTTGTTTCCAATAGCAGGCTTATTAATGCTCCCTTCATTGTTTGTGACATTGCTTTACGGACTCATATTTTACAAAAATWTTTTTCTATTTTAATTTGAGCTACATTTCCCCCCAAATACAATCCTTCCTGAGAACAACACGTTCCACCCTCCAAATCCCTTAAATTACATAGTAAATCCTTCTTTGAATAATTTTTGACCCAGGTGTGATGTCTTATTTGTTGCCATTAAATGACTGTTTGGTGTTGACATGATAAATCACCAGTGTTTTAAAATAGGCTTGGTTTTAAGGTGGAATTCAGCTTGCCTGGCAAAGGCAGGGATGCATTGTCTTTCTCCCTACCACTCTACTTTTATACCATTTAAGACTATAATGACAAATGCTTTTCTCCCTTTGCTATTTTAAAGAACTAAGGTCTTGGACATGTGTCTTTGCTCTGTATGTTTGATTTTATTGGGTAACATTGAGACGGACATAACCTTGGATGAGATGGTTGTCAAAAAAACAAAAACAACCTTCCCCGACACCCCACAAAAGAAAACCCTTCTGATTTTATTGTTCCATCAAGGATTTATTGTCAAATTCCATTTCCACAGTAATTCCAGACATCAAGATTTAAAAGTGTTTGTGGGCTCAGAAAAGTGTCCCATTGATATTTTGAGTCCATAGCTAACTATAAATGTTCTTTGATAGTAAAACCAAGAGGACTTCATGATGGAATGGTGCTGGGATCTCTGTTACGGCATTGTGCATACCAGACTCTTATCCTACCAGCCCAGAGAGCAGACAGAGCTCATTTTCTAGCAGGCTGGATTATAAATGAGCAAAAAGGTCAACAAATCAATGAATAATCAGTGCACCTTCATGGAATATTATGAGATTATATTCTAATGTTTTTAACAAAGTCAGTATTGTAGAGTGGGATTAATTCCCCCCAATTTCACCCATTTGCAATGAAAACCTAACCTCTTTGGACATCTATTTTACAATAAGATGGCTCAAATCCTACATGTCTTTATTCCTCCTCATTGATTTTTGGGAGAGTTCAAACTGATAGTTCAGACATGGCACTGGGGGCGGAATAGATGGTCTTTAAAGGTACCTGACAATCCAAACCTTTTCCTAATTCCATGACAAGCATTTCTACTCCATTTTTTTGTATGTGGCCAAGTGAATCTTACCCAGACAGATTCCTTTTTGTTTCCTGCTAGCATTTTKCTGTTTCCATTGAAAAAATAAGGAAGAAAACTTCAGGAGGCTACAGAACATTGGAAGTAAATARGTTTTGCAACATGAAAGGCAATAGGTATGTTTGAGAGGCAAACCCATTTCAGCAGCAAGTTGATAATATTCTGAATTACTTCATTGGCTTAATGCTATTTAAGCAGTCATGGTAGCATATAATCATAGCACTTTAGTTTTATTCCTTAGAGCTTTAGGAAATAGAGACAAATTGCCTAATTAMACAGAGGAACTGTTCACCTTAGCCCCAGATAAAACTCTTGTGTCAAAGTTCCTCACTGAAGGACATTTTGATTTTAATGTTTTAATATCAACAGTTTTAGCAAGAAGCCTAATGTATCATATGTCATTATTTTGATGCAAGCAAAGGATATTTTCAGGACTATATCCAAAACCAGGCAGTAGACAAGAATATAGGTTGTATTAACACCTKTTTTTTACACAAGAGCAACATACAGGACCAGACTGGTGTCTGAGCTGGTTTACATTGTCAATCTCATGTCAATGCTCACAGCAGGAATACTCAAATTTACAGCTGCCTGCAGTTGACTCCTGGCAGCAAGGGTGAGCTGTAATTTCCCCTTCATGTGCATTCATTAGGCATCCATTCATTAGCTCTGAGACCCCCTCTGTGGCAGACCCTTTGGTCTTTCATACAAATTGGAAAACAGTCCTTCTCAGGGAGAGGAGGAAGAAGATGCAATTCTCCCTCCATATTGCCCTTATATTCCCAGATTTTTCTGCAGTGATAATCCAGCACTCCAGCTGCCATATCATGATCTAGATGACTCAGGCTCAGCTCTTAAGACTTCAGATCATGGATAAGACATGCACAGAGAAAAGCACTCTGGGGAGGAGAAGGAACTAGAAGCCAGCATTTCTTTTTCCAGTTAGTACAGCTGGGTTATGGAGTCATGGTTTTTCTCTGGTCCAGCAAAGTTTGAATTCTTCTGGCACAGCTTCTGAGGTTCAGCAGAGGGAGGGACAAGTGCCAGAACTGTCTGGTAGCTAGATGACTTTCCTGGGAGACACATGAATTACTGAAGGCAGGGATCACTGAAAAGGAGGGGGATGGGACGGAAAYTTCCTCTGGTTGAGTTTTAAAATAAATTGGTTGCTGCCGATGAATTTTATTGAACCCAGCTCTGTTGGAATAAGGCATGGACAAAGGTATTTGCTCAAGGAAAGCTTTAATGTATTTGTAAGCAACGGTTGCATTGCTCTGTCGAGATAGGAGCAGTCAGGGTGTCCTTCGAGACAGCCCAGGGCACCTGGAGGGTCTTAATCTAGAGGAGCACAGTAGATGGTTTTCTCTTAAGAGCGGCTGTGCGAGGTGTTTGAAATTCCCCCAATATGAAGATGGGGGCCCAGTGGAGCTGATGAAATCGGGTCATCCCAGCACKCAGCAGGGAGGCCATCAGCCTGCTGTGTGAAACCTCAGCAGGCCCCTGTGGCCATCGTTAGACATCTTTGTACCTTACAAACCTTGTCCCCGATGCCTTTTGCTTCCTGTTAGAGGGCAGTCTAGGCCAGGAGCTCGCCAGGGACTGGGACCACATGGATTCCACAGGGTGGCAAGGCAGAGCCCGGCCCATGCCTTCATTCCTGTCAGGATTTGGCAGGGCAGGGCACCAGGGCAGCCCCAGCCCCTGGCATTGTGCACTTCCTGGGCATGGGCTGAGGCCACATCAGGACRCAGGGATGGGCCAGGACCCATGGGAAGCTGGCCATGGCCAGCAGGGAAGCTGGAGACCAGCCCAGCTGTGACATCGGAGGGGCAGGGGCTGACTGGCCCAGGAGGCTGACATGCTGTCCTTTATGGGCAGCTGGGCAGGACACTYAGGGCTGTCGGTGCCCCAGGGCACAAACACTTGGGTGCACTGTCAGCCCAAAGGCAGCCAGGCTTTGGGGCTGCTGCTCTTGGTCCACCACCTGCATTATCCTCTCTGGGCAGAGCTTTACCTGCTTCTGTGCATGCCTTGTCTCCACATAGGTTCAGATCTCACTGCTGATGTTTGTTTGCAAAACACATGCCCCTAACTCTAGATCATTTATGCAACCTAAACATCATTTGGGCCAGAGAGCGACGATCCGAGCTGCCAGGACACTGATTTAAACACCCCTGAAAGCAAAGGTGATTGCCGATTTGGATGCAAGCTAGTCTCTGCCCTTTTCACAAGTAACAAAACCCTGACCATACCAGGTGTCAAATTAACCCACAAGTCTCTTCATGAAAACATCCTGCTCCACAGGCAGAGGTGCTCGGGGGCCTGAGTTCCCTGGAGCAGTCAGCCACATGGCTGCRGGTGGTGTAACACACTACACGGTAAACTTGGACTCTCAACATGACATAATTGCTGTCCTAAGACAAAATAAGCACCTCAGAAACATAAACAAAGATGTTTATTGCAAATAAAAAATCATATACACACAATGAAGTCTTATGAAGTATAAAGAGGTTGTTTTGCAAATTGTGAAGCATCCATGTGCACAAGGGCTGCCATTTTAATCAAAACAGCTGCCTGGGACATGCACATATCTATCTGAATGTGCCAAACCAAATCTATCTAGCCTTCTATCTAGAAAGGTTTTGATTTGACTGGTGACATCATTCTGACACGTCCACAGTTTCATTTCCTCTGGATCTGGCAGTAGAGGCTCATAGAAAACACCAAACCAAGAATCTGGAAAACAAAGACATTTCTGGTATTACTTGGCAGTTCTGGAAATCCCAGGATACAACTGATACACAATGGGAATATTTTGTTTACAAATGTCTTGGATTTACATGCAGGCTAAATCTACTGTGCAGATGATTTTTTCCAATGTGGCTCTTAAAGAGCATGACTCCAGAATACAGATATTTTAATGAAATCAGTATTTCATTAAATACAGGTAAGACTGCAGACACCATGGAGAAGTTTCATTTATTTGAAAGACCTTTTTTTTCACATCCCTCTGTGGAAGGGAAACCCTGTAGCTCTGGGTGTTTAAAATGTAGTTGTTTGCTGTAACAGAGCAGAAGTACTGAGCAGTTCAAGAAATTTGGACAAAAATTTATTTTCTAATAAAGTTAGAGGAATGTTCCCTGTGTACTCTAAGGGTTGCTTCCCTTTGAAATCTCTCTTCTGCTGTCACTCTCTTTTGTGTAACCATATGTGTGAAGTATATGCATACATGTATACACATGCATGTTTAGGTATACATCTATACACATACCTTACCATYTGCAGTTGCAAATGGCCATGCAACCAATATTTTATATTCATCAATAATGGACAGGATTGAAACAATAGTGACTTCACTGAAGAAGCTTGAAGTTACTTGAAATAGAAAATTCAGTAGTGTCACCTTCCATAGTGGGAATTACTACATGACCTATGACAGAGAGCTGGTGAGATCAGAAGACCAGAAAGCTTCCTTCTGGATTTAAAAATAACCCAGTTTATGAATGTGTTCCACAAAAGTGAAAGCACCCAACTGACACCTTTGAAGCCATGAAGACTGGCACACTTTATTTACTGAAGGAAGAGACAGAGAAGAGCACATGTTACACAGAGGTGCAGCTAAGACAAAGGGATGGACTCACAGCTCGAATAAACTGACAGGGCTGCCCTGACATACCATGCCCCCATTTTCACTTGCACCCAAATGAACCTGGGCCCTTATCTGTATCATTTTCACTAGCAGGGTGAGCTGAAAGCAGTAACATAAGTGGCATAATGAAGCAGGCAGAGGGGGGAAGAGCATTTCTTTTTATCTCGGGTTTCCCAGAGCAGAGAGGTGGTTAAGCATGAGGCCTTTGATTTGCAATTTYTTGAATTAATATGGAAAGGCTAAATGTTTGTCAGGTGTAAATTGCCMTCTGACAATTTGTGCTGAGTCTCATATTGTTTATTCATGTTGTTTTCTTATCCTTTTATGATCGGGAGAGGCAGCCACCACAGAAAATGCCAGCTGGAGAACAGGAAGGAATCATGGCCAATGAGCTAAAGGCTACAACTCACGTAATTGCAGTAACCAGAGCAAAGTGACTTATAAATTACCTTAGGGATACCAATGCAATTTTACATTTCTATTATATTTTTAAGGCCTTTAATATTGGTGTAGTCCACCTATTTTCCCCACAAAGTAAACATGTGGGTGAGAGACCTGACCCCCCACATATAGCACCTTAAATACCACAAAGCCTGTGCTGAGTAAGAAATTGGTAGCCTGTCCTTTTCCAGTGTTGCAGCTACCTAATTCTTCCCCACTCACTACTATTTTCCCGAAAATACAGTTTTGAGTTGGGGCTCTTGTCCACTCTTCTACCAAGAGGGGCAACCCTCTGCCGATGATGTTAAGGAGTTTTTGCTTTGAATAACAGAATGAACTTTCAACAATCTTTGCCATTTCTGTTTCTCCATCAAACATCCACTGATGGAGAGCAGGGGTGGAGGAAAACCAAGGAGAAAGAGTGAAAAGAAAAAAAAAAAACTACTGAAGAAAGCAACCCTGCTTCTTTATAATTTTCTCCTAATCAAATCCAAAACAAATAGCTGATTGGATAGTCTCACTTATTTTCCTCYATTCTTCAGAGGACATTTTGCATGTTATTCTTCAACATATGGTGAGGAAATTAAAATGAATAGTTCACATATTCTGTGGTTTTTTACACACAGGAATATATGGAGCATCACAGACGTGCAACTCAGACACATCCATGCATCATCTTGCAGATTAAATTTTTAATGCCTCTGAATTATAATTATGCACCACAGCTCTTCAATGATAAGAATATGTACCTTAGGGTACATATAAGGCTAAGTTTATATGGCCTAAGTTATAAGGCCATAGGCTAAGTTTTCTTAGGATATTACTTTTTCCTCAAACAGAGATGAGAGAGAGGAGGAAAAGTCTGGCTATTCTGCCTCATGTCTTCTAGCACTGTTTATCCACGCACCCCTCTGTACACAGGGCTCACTGTCAAGGCCACAGACTGGCTTCAGGACTGTCAATCTTTTTGTAGAAAACAACCCAAGTGATACACTTGTACCAGCAGCAGGGTGGTCTGATCCCACCTGAAGTTTGCAGCTCAGCAGCAGTATAATGTTTATAGCAAATAACAGTAAGGTTATAGCTAAGGTGAGAGGTGRTTTTCCCTTGTGTATTAATTGAGCAAGCCATGTGTTTTAATCCCATTCCAAACGTATTTCTAAGTAGAACATATTGCTTGTCAGCTACTAAATATTTTAACGGTATGCACTTGTACCTCAACAACAGCCAGTCCAAAGGCAATCCCCATAATTATGATCAGATGATCTTTAAGGTATTTGATAATCACTTCTCCACAAGTCTGAAAAATAAAACAAAATTATTAATTATAGGTAAGCAATATTATCCTATAATCATGGCAATAATGGTTATACATATGTGTGTGTATATATATAAAGATATATATATAAGAATGCATCTTCTAAAATAACTCAAGTTCGCTATTTAACTCTGTAATAAAGAAAAGCTGGAGAGCAGTGCCACAGAAAGAGACCAGGCACATGGTGTGAGTCTTGGGGTGTCCTGTGAAGGGCCAGGAACTGGAGTCAATGATCCTGATGGGTCCGTTCGAACTCAGCTTATTCTGTGATTCTACAACTGGAGTTTCCTGCAGAGCTACTCTCGAATATTTGCATGCATCTGTTCTTACAGTGACTACATCTTCTTCAAGCACTGACAGTACTCCTGCAAACTGGAGGGTAAGCCAAGTAGAGTTTAAATCCATCAAAATTACATTACTGATACAACACTACAACTATCTTCCCCCCAAATATATTTTTTCACCTTATTTCCTCTCTTACAGTAAACACATGGGTCTTCTAGTTCTTCTAAAAACTCTCATTTAAGCTGCACTGAATTTCAAACCTTTTTTCCATATTAGAGGAGTTGGATATCTCTGCCAGCATCTCACACTGCCATGAAATCTGTGTGTTCATATGGGTGATATCTTGCACCTGCAGTAATTTCACAGATGGTTTCTCATGTGTCCTTTGAGAGCTTGCCTGAGGCCAAAAGGACACTAAAGTGTGGCTGAAACAGCCTCTTTCTGTACATCTTATTTCCAGGTTGGGTTCTGGAATTGTCTGCTTAACCAGGCTGTTTTTTTGCTTTAAAATATTATTTGCTTCTGTGGGACTACATGGTGAGGAAATTACCGCTCAGGCAGGATCTGAGTAAGGAGCTGTGCATTTAGAGAAGTATACAGACATGGACATTTGATAAAATCTGTTTGATGCTGGATGCACCCTGGAAAGCTTTGCACCACCAGCATTCTAAAACTTCAATTACTTTGTGCCATTCAATTATTTTGTGCAATTCTTTTTTCATATTTTTTTCATATCCATAGAATCCAAATTTCCTCATAAGGAAATGGACAAACCATGAAATTACTTGAGATCTCTACTGTCTACTAGATGTTTCTCTACTGAGTGTGCTTTCTTGTTGCCTGTCACCAGATATTTTTGCCTTATTATTATATTAATTGTTCTAATAGTTTCAAAGGGCTGTAGTTATAAGAAATCGCTCCTTGAGTATTCTGCCATGAATCCTACAATATATAAGGTTTCTTTCAAGCAGATCCTGTGAAATCAGTGTGGGATTTTATTTAAGGATTATAAAACCCCAAAGGTCTTGCATTTGATGTGTTTGATTTTCAACATACTTTAGCAGTTTGAAAGTCTCTAAGTCAACGTGTCTACTACCACAATAAGCCCGGGCAGGAACATAACCTTCTGAGAGAGCAATGAGAGCCAAAGGGTAGCTGGTGTGCAGCTCTGACCCAGAGGCATACCCTAACCCCAAAGTCATAATAGTTTCCATCAACAGTAACCATGCAGGCTGCTAAGGGCCTAAACTGGAGGCATCTCAGAAAGAGGAAGGAGTAGAGTTATGAACAGTAATTTCTGAACAGATGGCATGGTGGGAATTCTGGCTAACAAAGAGAAAGCAAAACTTTACTTTGAAAAAGATATTTGCCAGTCACCAAAGATCACCTTGGATTAAAACTTTTTTGGAAAGAAGAAGTGGAACATTACATTTTCCTTACCCTTTCATAGATTAATCTGCTGTTATATGTGATGCAGAGGTCTGRTGATGGCTTCTCTACTTCACACTGACAAATTTTTGAAGAAGGTTCGATAAAATTTTTTCCCCAGTCTTCAGGTCCATTCAGCAATCCACAGCATTGGTTCTGCAAGAAAGGAGTAAATGGGGAAAAGAGTTTGAAAAGAGGTTATTTTCAGTTTGAAGAGAGTAGGTGAGGGAGCTGAAAGGAACAAAAAAGAACAAATTTTATTTAATCCTTTTCCATGTGGAAGTTGCCCCAAACTGATATGACTCCAACACCCTTTACATTTCCATACCACTTATAAGAATGTAACGGCACAAGGTTTTGTTTGTGTTGTTTTGGTTTGGGTTATTTTTTTGTTTAAAAAAGAGTGATAGGGAGAAAAGGCCCAGATTTTCAGTATGAAGTGCTCAAAAACATTAACATACTATAAAGCTGGTAATTATCAGTGCCAGAATGGAACTGGAGTGCTGGGTATAGTATTTTTTGAGAATCAAGTCTTCTTTCTTAGGTTATACTTGCAGAAGGTAAGTTTCCAGGTCCAGTAGTATCCACATTTCATATTTTGAAAAGCCAGGCTGGAAATGTAAAATTCAGGCACATAAAAYGCTGAAATCTAGAAAAACAACCACTTTGAATGATGGTTATCCCTTTAAATTAGAAAKGGACTGAGGAGACCAGGGCTCCATTTGGGGTTTGTGAAGCTTAAACCAGGTGCAGCTTCACCTCGTGTTCCACTTTATTCAAGCCACTAAAGCTCAGGGGCGCAGACTTGGGTTTGAGGTCCTCCCTCTATTAAAAAGCAGCTGGAAATGTTCACATAATTTTGCATAAAAGCAAAAACTGTGGGACATAATATAGTAATCTTGGTACATTTAAAAATTAATGCAGTAATTATGGGATTTTTCATTTTGTTCTTCTCTCCAGAGAGCTGCTTGTTATATCAGAAGAAATAAGCTGTCTCAGAAGCAGTGGGCAAGGCTGCAGGTGGAATGGGAAAGAAGAAATGTAAGTAATGTAARACACCTAAATGTTGTTTCTTATTTCATTTTCTTTCAAAAAGTGGTCCTTWAAAACAGAAGAATTAACTTTAAGTCCATCCATCAAAGTCATCACCCCTTGGGGACTGAAAAAACAGAACAGCAGGCATTCTGTTGGTGTACAGACCCAGGTAYTCGTGGGAGGGGAAGCAGTGTATGTTGTCAATGATATCAGAGATTCAAGGGTATTTTCTGTGTGATAAGCAGGAGCAAGCTCGCACTAAGTATCCATCCATCTGGGGTCTTGCAGGTGGGGACAGCCAGGAAAAGTATAAACACAATAAAAACAAACTTCTCATCATATTTTCTTCCTCTTCTCACACAGTAAAGTATGGCATTTAATACTTCATAGCAGTAGGACATTCCAGATTAAATACACTCCTGATGTTTTCTTCATCCCAGGGGTAATCTTYCCTTTAAAGTACAGGAAAGTTCTTATTTGGGATATGGTGAAGGATCAATTCAGAAGGGAACGCTGTAACAAAGGACCAGGCAGTCTTCTCATAAACGAGCTTAACTGCCAGCCTCACATATGCTATGTCCTTGCTTCATTGCTCTTACAGACAACGCTGTTTCACAAAGAAATCATCACAGAATGACCATGTCATACCAAGAGAACAGAAGCCCCTTCTGCACTGTTTTAGYTTGCTCTTAATTCAGACCCTTTCCCATCCCCTGGAAAAGAAATTYAAATCTATGGCAGAGTAGTCATAAAATGAAGCAGAGACCAATGCGAGAGATGAAACCAATAGCTACTAACCCCTGCAGATTTTATTGTTTAATTACCTTTTGCTCAAACTTCTGGAAGTCCTTCTGAAAGTCTTTATATTCTTCTGTAGTGCTTTGCAGTTTTTTCACACTTGCCAGTAGAGTACGGTTAAGGGATGCTTCTGTCTGCATGTTAAAAKATATAATTATTTTTTGGAAGAAACAGAACTCTATGAAGATGTCAATGAAAATACAGAATAATATTGTACCTGAGATCTGTACACAGCTCCTAAAATACCTCCTGTCACCTGAAGAATCAGGATCAAAAGCAGTCCAATAAAAAACTGGGAAGAAAACAAAAGSAGTAGAAAATGATTACTTTTGCCCAAGGTGATATAATTTCTTCTAAGTTAGCATTTATCTTTCATGTGTTTGAATAACATGTACGTAGAATGAAGCTCCAGTCAGATTATTTCTTCTTTGATGATGAGAAAAACTAGTTCTCAAGACAGAGTATGCTCAGCTGATGATGAAAGCAAAGCTCAYACCACAGTACTGGCATGATAAGGGTGTGCAGGTGAGAGCTGGGCAGGGGAGACATTCTAGGTAGACAAGCAGAGGGAGCAACTGGGAATTTATGAAATTAAATAGGATGGCTAACGAGGAGAGGTTAATGGTTGATGGTGGCTGGATGGAAGCAAAAGCTAGTGACATGCTCAGGTCTCTCTGGACCCTGTCTTCTTCTGGGTCAAGAGAACCCAGCATCATTTTTGCCACCACAGAATTCAGAACTCAAACTCAAGGTAAGCAATGAAAACACAGAATCATAATCATGCTTTTGGTTAAACTAAGAGGTCCCCATCCTCACTTGATCCTAGTAGCAAGAACTTTATCCAATAAACATAGCTGTGGCCTGTTAAAGGTAGACAAATGTTTTTCTTTCCTACCAACATCAGCATGCACCGGCTCTCCTTGACAGCACCACAACACCCCAGGAACCCAAGGATCATGATGATGGCGCCCACAGCTATTAGCAGATCAACTCCTGCAAATAGGCTGCTGTCTATCCCCAGGTCCTGAAAATAGAGGGGAAAAAATTCTTACAACTACAAGAAGGTCCTCCTAAAAACATCTGTACGCTCCAAAACAAGAGAATTACTTTGTAACTGATGAATATACGGATTAGCAACTATGGAGAAATTCTGATCCATAAATAAACAAAGCTCCAATTCTCCCTTCTCAAATGTTTTGGGGGGAAGATTTGTAAAATCTGGTTCTCTGCAATCTTTGTTTCTGCACAAGATGAAAGTCAACTTTACAGAGTAAATGAGTAAATAAAGATCTTCTGTCTTTAAAGTGGCTTTCATTTGGTTTTCAGTCAATGAATCTTTGCTTTTTACTGGAAGCAGGAGACTTGATTATCTCAAAACCTCTTCCACATTAACCAAATGTTAAAGAAACAAGATCTCTGTTCATCATTAGAAGGCCAGGAACATAGCCTGTGACTGTTCCTGAGAGAACACTTCTCAGAGTGATGCTGGATATATTGGAGAAAKAGTTAGATGTATTTTCCAAAGCAGCTGCTTTCCACCCCCACCCCCAGGCTTGATCTCTAAAATTATCCTCAGAGATAACTTTATTTTGATGTGTGGGAGATTCAACTAAATAATTCATATACCTCAATATTATTAAATATCAAATTATTCAGTTCCCACAAGACTGTCTAAGGCCAAAGACCAAAATAGAAAAAAATGTTCAAAGAATATTTTCCAGTATGACTGGTGCCAAGATTAGCAAAAATGTCTGGAAGTTGTCACATTTATCTTCTGATGGAAATTGCAAAGGTATATAGACAAGTATAATTTGAAGAATGTGTTGTTCTTTCCCTTTTCAAATTGGACTGAACCTCCTGTTATTTATTCTTAGAAAGCTCTATTCATCTACAGCCAAATTCTTATGGTCTGCTCAATTATTACTGAGGCAAAACATACATTGGTTTTAAGTGGGACCTTTGCCTGCCTGGAGGCAGGCAAAATGTGAGAAAATACTTTCAATTTTAGTCCTGACTCTTAATTCATAGGTTTTTGGGGAGTACTAAGTGTCGCTTCAGGAAAGCAGTTTGTCACATAATTTGAATATTCTTTTTTGAATAGGAAATCCCTCAAAAAATAAGATTGGGTAGTTGTAGTTTTCCAAGTTCCATTGGATTGTTTGAGCCATCATACTAGAGATTGTCAACTACGAAGCATGGCAGTTTCAGCTTCTAGTAAAATGTGGCTTGAGAAGTGAAAGTCATGATTCTTCCTCTTTCCCAGAAGAGAATGGCAGAGATGTCCACCATGACCTAATTCACCTGATGCCACGGTGTCACAGTGAATCGAGTTCCCTGGCATCCATGCTCTGCCAGACTGAGACATCTGAGACTGGCTAAGGGAAACAGAGTCATCAGCCAAATGGCGGGAAAAAGACARAGCTATCTTCTTATCTCCACCATCTCTTTAGTTCCCAGGTGGGAAAACGCTGACTTAAAAAWTATTGCTCTTTACTGACAGACTGTCTAGAACAGCATGGGAGTTATCTGAAGAGTTGTAGTTTAACCTATACTTTAAGGCTGAGTCTGAAACTGGAAACCTTTCCMTGCTTCCATGCCACACCTGGCCATTTTTTTTACTTCTGTGGCCACAAAGCCTCTTTGAAAACAGAAGAATGCAAATTAAGCTTTCAAATGATTTGCATTTCTATGGCCCAAATTCATATGAAGAAATATACTCTKTAAAACCTAGAGTCAGTGCCACTGGGCACACACTGGGCAAAAGGGTCTACAGAGCCATAGGGTCTCTGCAACAACAGGACCAGCCTTTGCTGCATGTCTGCAAGCTTAAGAGATCCTCAAAACTCTATTTTGCCTAGCTTTGCAGAAAATAGAATTTTTAAGATCCAAAGTAATTTAATAACTCATACAAAAATCCAAGAGGGGAACTCAGGGGCTTTCTTCTACCCTCCAGGAGGACTTCTAGGACGTTTTAATCCTAGATTTTTGGGTATCTTTCTGTATAAGTATGAGGGGGAATGGATGAAGTGATTTTAAGGAGCTGTTGAACATCAAAGGGAAAAATCCTTTCTCCCTTTCAAAGTTGCAGTTACTAGGGAAATAAGAATTGTGTTATTGAAGGTAGTGAGAAACATAAAAATATACCCTACAAATATATAGAGTAACCCAAGGAATAGATATGACTATTCTATGCTAATAGGGGAAAGCAGTGAAAAGTCTGTGAGCTGCATGGCTCCTCATTATTCTCTAGAACACTGAAATAATTAACAAAAACGTAATTATTTTTCATTAGAGAAGACACATTTTCAAGCAGAAATCTGTGAGCATCTGCATGAAACTACATTATTAACACTAGCAGACACTTCTCATAGTCACATATCATCTGCTTGCATCTGCCTGCACTTTATCTGACTACATGCATCATAATGTTTAATCTTAACGTTATAAAATGCACTCCTCTTCCCCCACACAAACAAGCTCAACAAAAACAAAATTTGTGAAATGGGAAATTAAAGTATGTGCATTAGTTTCCACGTTTTACATGGTGCTGGTACAACTGCATGCGTTTACCTGTTGAGCATCTTTGCTAACACGTATCCATATGGAGACTCCCAAAATAACAGAACCACACACCTGCAAGAGAAAATAAAGACAAGTTAGAAAGGTCAGCAACATTTTKACTAACAGTCAGTATCCAAATTGCACCAGATGCTGTCCAAACTTCTGAAATCATTTGTTTGGCAAAGCAACAGAAACATGAATTGCTGGAGCAGAGAATGTTGATTCATTTCCAGGAAAATTCRTAAGTGTCGTTAAATCTTCAGGTATGCACCAAATCCCTGATGTTTCTACCTCAGAGGACTAAGCATTTCCATGATGATTTATACATGTGGTTGGGAAGGACACAGAAATTCTGTCATTTGAGAGAGGAAATACAAATTGCTATTGTATGTATAAGGCATCTGTGTAAAGAAAGTTTTCTCTTGTATAATGGAAATACAAGATTTGATAAGGGATGTTGTTTTGAGATTTATTCAGGCCATATATCTGGAGACATTCTCTATGGCAAAGCTACCAGGAAAAGTTCTAAATATAGTCTTTCTGCTGTTTCAAATGCGGCAATATCTGGTCATCTCCAATCCTTTGACTAGTCCTCTTAAAATGCCTACAGTAATTGTTTCCATTATATTTTTACAGAAAACAGCCAACTACAAGTTGGTCTTGTAGATGTGAATGTAAGAATAGGGTGACTTGCCTTAGCACGCTGAAGTCAGGGAAGGTGAACCCCAGTTCCAGATGCATTCCTTCATCCCTAGTTGAGCTTCTATTTTGTTGATCATTGTTCCCCTGTGTGCCAGTCACTCTATTCCTAACCTTTTTGTTGATGATTCTTACACAGAATTTCTCTTTATCAAGTGTTGCTAGGCACAGGTAAGCAAGAGGCTATTCAGGCACAAGGGTTGTGCCTACTGAGATGACTGGTAGGAAAGAGACATCACTGAGGACCAGACACTAGTCAGATTTAGAATTATCTGCCTGTCTGCCATCGATATTCATGTCATAAATGGCCCTGAAGTGTTGTTTTGAATTTCCCATGAAGGCTGGGACTGTTCTTAACCTTTTGAAATTAAAATAGTTATTTTATATGGTTTAGACTTTTTTCTTTAAAAATACTTTCCCCACTGAAGTTTTCATACAATATTCAGCTTCAAAGACATTAATGATCTTAGCAGATTATTGAATATGGAATAAAGCCAGCACTCAGGCATGAGTACCACACATTTTCCTGCTCTAAGTAGAGCAGGAAAGAAGTACATTTTAAACATTGAAAGGGAAGTWGTATAATGAATGACAAGTATAACATGTTATCAAATTTAACTAGAGTTTCCCACTGAAACCTTTTGAATCCTGCTCAATCTGCCTGGAAACTGATGGTATTATATGGCTCTATATTTTTGGTCTTGCTCAGCAGCGCTGTGGGAGTGATGTGGCTATTCACTAATAGTCTTGCTAATGTGAACATTTCCGCTGAAGCCTCTATTGCAGTAAATCCAAACAGATTTTGTCACACTGCCTTATTTGTTACATAGGACCTCCCATAAAAACACAGCTCAGTAGTAGAAGCAAATGTAGCTAAATGTACAGGAACTCATCAATCAGATGGGAATGCTGCAATATTTCCTCCATACAAAAATACAAACATCATTTATAAATCAAAATTTTACTAAGATATGCATATATTTTGATTTTAAAATACAGAGTTGGTTTAGGTTGATAAAAAATGCTCTGTTTCAGTAAAATCTTAACCATTTGTTTCTGTTTATGTTCATAATATACAAAGTGTACAAAAACACACAAAGAGGTTTTGAAATAGCAAATAAAGGTCTGTTCCCAAAGAGTCCAAGTTGAACATGTAAAGTTTGTTGGAATAGTGAATCCTAATTTTAAGTTTTCTTAAAATAAAGTTTGACCTAAAGAAGCTTTCAGAAAGTTTTCTTTTTAATGAACCAGTGTTTTCTGATGGAATAAAATGACCTTCTTTGAAAATGTCCTCACTGATTTTCCCAAAACTAGATGGCTATTGTATTTTTGCCTTAACCCTTGAAAAAAAAATCAGTTATCTTTTCTCAGTCTCATACATTGAACAGCAACAGGATGGCTGTCCCTCAAATTTGGTCAGTCYTTCTCCTCTCAAGCTTTCAATTTTGGTATGATGAGAAAATACAGCCATAGTTAGCTAAACCAATCTCACCTCAGATGAGCCTGACATAGTTCTGAACCAACAGTATGTGAAGACTCTGCACTTCTCATACACACAAATACCAAATCCACAGGCCATTTCCTCCTCTGGCACACACTTTTTAAACATTGAGTTCAAGGGTATCAGGAGGAACTTTTACAAGGTTATTTCTATTCAGGAAAACACTGGCTGGAACACTTCCTTGAGACACCTGAAATTACAGCTCTAGGAAGGTCCTAGAGAACATAAGGTCGATGGCTCAGCAAACCTGCCCAGCTTGTGCTGCTGCTTCAGGAACTGAGATGTTCACATTAAGGTTCAGGGACTACTTTGTTCATAAATGGGACTGCAAGTGGGGTATTAAAAACTGATCAAAGAGGCTCTGCCACTTATCATGTTAATAATCATGCCTTGAACTAGACATCAGTATTCAGTGAAAAAAGGTAATTCTACAATTTTGCAGGGTGTGGAGTAGCAGAAGTTGACACAATGAGGACAGCAGGTGAGACTGGATGACCTGCAAACTCTGAGGAAGGGAAAGAGGAAAAACCTGACATATGTGCCAGGTTTAATTCACAAAACTAACAAGAATTGACTTAAGGAYTTAACTTATTAATTAGAAGCTCCATACAGGCAGTTCCAAAGCACAGGTCTTCAGAAGCCCATAGTCAGCTATTTTTCACCAAACTGGGAAGATGCAAAACTCTATTGATGTGCTGGAGCCCAGCATGGGGTTCGTGGGGCTGTAGATTCCCGGGGTACTTATGTCATAGTCATAGTCACTTYGCAGAGCTATCTTAGACTATTCCAGGGCTCACACACTTAGTGCTGCAAGAACTGCTTAGACAAAGTTATCAGAAGGCTGGGAAGCCAATTCCTGAATCTTCTAGGAGGGGACACTCCCAGAGAGATTGCAAAGGGCGTAAAATGAAAGGATGCCAGGTAAATACGCAACTGTTGTTCTTATCTGCTTCAGTTAAAGTCACCTTCATTTCTCATATCAGTAATTTTCCACTTGTCAACAGCCTTGTGCACTAGAGAAAGCGGCTGCAGGACAAGTAGCTGTAAAGTCATCTCTGTTCCGTCTACCTTACTATCGCAATTTAATGATTTCCAGGAATTAGAGACAGGAATGTGATCCAAAAGATTCAGCTTTGCTATATTTCTGTCATCTGTTCTTCTCAAACTTGATCATGCTAAACTAAACATCCTGCTAAAAATAATTAACTATAGCTGCATTCCTGTCCTTCTCTGTTTCATTTTCCCCTACCTTAATAGTGCTAAACACTTTCCCTTAAAATAATTTACTGCAGTTGCATTCCTGTCCTTCTCTGTTCCATCTAGACAAACACATGCACAACAAATGCTCTCAGCATTTTCTTCCTCAGAATACAGCACAGGTTTTCCAACTTTGGTATAAAGATAGGAAGTTTGTTTCACATGTGCTCGTTACAAGGCTCCCCCAGGATTGTACTCCTTTTTTTCCCCCAGGAAAACAATACTACTACCTGGGACATTATTCCATTGTTCGTTCTGGAAGCAGTTTGAAGCTTTTCTAATGGTAGTCTGAAACATTTGTCCATGTTTTAGCTTACAATAAAYATAGATAAATGTGAACAGGTCCRCTGGTTTTGGCTGGGGTAATTTTCTTCACAGTGGCTGGCATGGGGCTGTGGTTTGGATTTGTGCTGAACATAGGGCTGATAACATAGAGAAGTTTCTGCTGTTGCTGAGCAGAGCTTGCACAAATTTTCTGTTCATACTGCCAGTCAGGTGAGGAGACTGAGGGTACATGGGAGGCTGGGAGGAGACACACCCTGGACAGGCTCCAACTGACCAAAGTGAAATACCAGACCACTCAGCATCAGGCTCAGCAAATAAAGCTGGAAGGAAGAAGGAGGAAGGGGGGGAACATTTGGAGTGATGGCATTAGTGCTCTCTCCCAAGTAAACATTTCACGTCATGAGGCCCTGACCTCCTGGAGATGGCTGAACACCTGCCTGCCCATGTGAAGCAGGGAATTAATTCCTGTTTTTGTTTTGCTTGCATGCATGGCTTTTGCTTTCCCTATTAAACTCCTTTATGTCAGCTCATGAGTTTTCCAGCTTTTATGCCTCCAGTTTTTTCCCCAATCCTGCTGGAGCRGGTGTGAGTGAGCGTCTGTATGGTACTTGATTGCTAGTTGGGATCAAACCACAACAACAGGAAAAGCTTTCTGAGGGACAGGAATTTGAATTCAGAAACTTAGGGATTCTTGTAAGTACTTTTGCATAARAACTTCAATACAAATGTTCAAAATCTTCAATCAGCCTTGACAGAAGTGGAGGAAGAAACTGGGGGAGACAGTCCAAACCAATGCTGGTCTATCAGGAATTTCTTTGTGAGATCTACAAGCAATCAAAGAATTTGGGCTGGCCACAAWTTTTCCAAGGCTACTGTTTGTGGTCCCTTTTGAATGGTATCACCTTTTCTCTTGAAAAAAAATCCCTTGAGGCAAAGCCCATAATGTGGCCAGTAGTTTCGCTTCTGATTTCAGTGAACCTCTGGTGAACCTGACAAATCTCTGTCAGGAAATCTGAGAATGAAGTCGAACCATGAGGGAAACGTTCTTTAACTCAAACCTTTCCAGAGCTTCCAGGATTTGAAATTYTTGCAACCCAGCTGAGACAGACAAATATGGTTCAAATAACACCCAGAAGCCTGCCTGCTGTGCTGTGCTGTGCTGTATCAGCCTTGGCACAGCTATGGCAGTACTGCCAGCTCATACATTGTTACAAACTTTTACTGTCAACCATCAGAAACTAATTATGCACTGAATGTAAAGCAAAGAACCACAAAGAAGGATGCGAAAACCATTTATCAATTAGGAGGCTAAAAATTCAAGTGAATTTTCCATATTTTCTGTTGCAATTTCATTTTCAGGATCTTGCACGCAAACAGCAGCAAGAAAAGGAAGAGAACTGTGCACTGTTACTGAAGAGTCTGACTATCTTCTGACTGAGATGAGCGGTGTCCCTTGGCATGAGGGCACTAGATGAGCAGCGAGACAGACTTGGGGCTTGTCTGCTTTTGAATGCAGAGGGAAAGGTGTTTAGATGGAAAAAGACAAAGGGAAGGGCAAAAGTTAAATATATGCTCCCCTCCCGGATTTAGAATTGCACTCTGATTCCACTTAGGCTCTATTTTCTTTACAATTCATTTAACTATAGCATTCAGATAATGGGGAACACATTTCATACATCACTAATAACAGTTTAAACACTAACTTACCCAAAATAAAAAGTTGAAGATGAACATGGAGTACTTCATGCAGCTGCTTACACCCGCCATCTTCAACAAGCTGAGACAAAAACAAGCACTGCAAAAGAAACCTTCCTGAGAGTTTGACCTTGATATAWAAGTTGTTCTTGCGTCTTCAGAAAACTTCTCAAACCACCTCAAACACACTGTGCTCTGCTACTGAAAGCAAAAATTATGAGCAAGTCATCCACAATTACTTAAATAATTGCTTTGCCACAGGTAAATATTAACCAAGCATTGGGGAAGCACTAACTGTTGTTATCACCGAGTCTCCAGGCTCTTACTGTGTCTTGTGATCTGTACTTCTCTGTAATCCTMTTACTTGTCTACGCCTCAAAAGCAAATAATGAAGCAAAAGTGATATTTTAGAAAGAGAAGTGAGCATAAAAACATTTTATAGACCCACTTTAAGAAGAAGTTGAAACGATGGCATTTCTTAAAGCTTTACATGGCAGGATTTACTCTTCCACTGCCTGGTGTTCACTGCCAGCATTCATTCAGATGTGCTCACCCTCCCACTTCAGTGCTCAACCGGCAYAACGGGATGGGTCTGCTTTATCCTAGCAGAGTAGGGGTAAGGAATCTGCCAACATTTTCTCCCTCTGGGTATCGACTTCAGATCTTTCTCTTCTTCCTCACCRAGTCAGGACCCCAGGAACCTAAGCATTGTGTTGCCCAAAACGTCCTGCTGTGCAGGTTTCCGGAAGTGTTGTGAGCCCCACAACAGTAATCCCAATTCTGGCATTGGATGCAGATACCTCTCAGTAACAGGAGCTAGACTCATTCCAGAAGGCAAGGCAATAAGTTTATTTCATTAGTTTTGGGTTTTGTCTTGTTTGTTTTCTTCTGTGTCCCCCCAACTAGGGATCCTGAGGGTAAGATAAAGGTATTATTGCCGTGATTTTTCTATCAGTCTATTTTCTGAAGAAGACACATACAGCAGTGCTTGTAGGAATGATGGTCAGGCACAAGTTTCTCTGACTTTGTCATAAAGAAAAAATTTTAATTTTGGAGGTGGACACAGTGTGAGAGATTAAGGACACACTGGTCTGAACTGATTYATGAAGTCTGTTGGCCCAAACCCAGTTTCCAGTTTTCAATGTCAATTCCTGTTCTTCAATTCTGCTCTCTGTATTTGAAAAAAAATGGCAAGTGTTAGTATATAAGACRCTTGTAGATAGTGACAAAAAGATGTAACTTAGAATCTGGCTTTTGAAGGATCCACAAAAAATAAYCCAGTCCTCTACATTTAGAACAACTCCCTCCAGCTGCTCTCTTAACTAACTTTTAATGAAAGTGTGATGTTGTAATCTCTCCATTTCCTTTCACTAATTGTATTTAAACAGACACAATCATTCCCATTTTCAAGAGCGGTTCTACACCTGCCTCTGACTTTCTGTGCTCCTTTCTGGAGTAATATTGTTTGTTGTAACTCTAGGATATCAACTGTCTGACTAACTTATTTCACAATATTYACCCTAAATGTTCCTAAAAATAATTGAGCTCATGAAATACAGATTTTGTAAGGACTGGGAGAAACAACTGTGGTATGGTTTAGATCTAACACACTCCACAAATAAGCAAATTGAGAAATGTGGCTGTCTTTATGGAGGGATGCCGTAGCCACAGATGAATGTTGAGAAAAGTTTAAATGGCCATAYAAAAATATACGAAAAGGACCATGAGGGGTAGTAAGGGAATCACAGATGATACAGGATCTGGAAAGATATGTCTACAATCAGACCATACAATTGCAGTAAACTAAGTTTATTGTAATTGGAGCTTGGAAATGGCATCATGTGCCAAAAACTACACTGCTGTAAATCATCACACAGAGTAGATACTGATTGAGCTGCAGTGCTGTTGTCTGTGAGATGCTTAGCCCAGGCATTCAGTCAGGGATGTCTGAGGGAAAGTGTGCTGGGACAATACTAACATAGGAAGCAAGCATGAGCATTCACACTGGCTCCTCAGAAGAGGCCAGTGTGCAAGGACCTTCCACATGCAAATGCCCAGAAGTTCTGGTGTTTCTTCGTTTTGCTGTTTTGGGTGATTGGGGTGGGGGGG